AGATGAGGGGACAGTCAGTCTTGCAGTAAGCGATTTATAGCAACTACGGACGTTTGTCCCGCTCTTTCTGCGCGTGGAACTATCGGTGACATTGTCAACTAGTGCATCACATGACAGTTGCTAGGCTGAAATGATTTATCTTCCTACGACCAGATAAATAAAGCTAACAAAATCTTCATAACCCATCTTTCCTTCATCGTGCTTGTGAAAACGTTGAATCCCTGGCTTTTCAGTTGGGGCCACATCAGCATGTTCAATGTCGATTGATCGAGCATGGGCCAAGGAGAAAACGCCATTGACCAAGGTGCTTGTTCAAACAAATTATCATTGTCTGTCGTGTTTTTCAAAGGATCAAATTGAGAAAAAGAAACTTTTTGAAATCATTCCTCTTTCATATCTTCTTCCCCTCTTAGTCCTTTCAAAAGTGGTTACTCCCAACCCGAAGCACTAGGTTCAATTTTTTTTTTTGAAAGGGTCATTTTTAATATTTTGGCCCCTCCAAAAGTCACCAACATAGTTTTGGAGAGCACAAGATGCAAGGTCCGGTTGAAGAGGGCTTTGGGTGTCCTGCAGCTGATTCGCGGCTTCCAATTTTTTTTCTCTTTCAAGCTTGTGTGGAGTTTACCCGCAAAAAAGAACATGCGTGCAGTAACATTGTTTAAATAAGCTAATGGTAATTTGAAAATGTAATCATTCTCTCGAGAATAGTTGTCCCCTAATAGTCAGCAATGTTTGTATTACCAGAACCAGGGTAGGAATATAAATACAATCGTACATGCATAATATTAATACCACTATATGGTTTTAACTTCCAGTTTTCAAAATATTTCGACTTCAACTGAAAACACTAAATTTCTCTGAATTTCAGTTATTACGGAGCTCATTTCCACCAAAGGGGCCAAAATTTCCATTTGAATTCATCAAAATCCAACTGACTAATTAATTAAAAAATCAATTTGTGTATACAAGCGTGACAGGTGAAATATTTTGACCGAAATGCATTTATTTCCTTATGCACCAAAATGACTAAAATAAATTTGTAAAATGATAACATACATTGGTTCATTCCTTACTCTCATCAATGTACTGGTGCCCCTTGTGGACCCTGCTCCCTCCTAGAAAAATTATGGCTCGTCCATCGCCATGCTCTCCTATTTGCTCTACCGGTTCTATCTTATCTATCTAAAGCCCATGTCATTCTCCATGGTCGACTTTGCGGTATCGCCACCGCCCACCACGTCGGAAATAACTGTCATTGCATCGCCACCCACATGCTGCAAGCACGCCACTCACATTTGCAAAGCACACCGCCACCGCGTTTTCACTATTGTTTCAAGCATCATGCACATGCTACAAGCCAGCGGGTCTCTGCATGGCCAACTATTGGGCACTGGAAGAGTTCATGCTCGACTACCCCTGCCACACGTGTTGCAAATAAGTCGTTGGTGCTTCAACGTGCTCACAGACGGGGCGGAGATGTTATATGGCGCCATCCATGGCGTGAGGATGAGGACTATGATGCAACATTAGCGGTGTGCTGTGAGGGCGGAGGTTAGGCGTTACGTGGTCGGTTGTGCACTGTGCTTTTGGATGTTGCAAGCCGATAGTGGATTATTGGGATGGGGACCATGCGTTGTAGCAGGGCGATGACTTTGCGAGTGAGCAGGCCAGATGTGTTGCAAGTTCGAAGGGAATAGTACTGGTGCAGTAAACTCGGGGAAGGGATGAGAATGTCATAGGCTCTTCGTGAGCATGTTGGTAGGTTGAGATGAGGAGGGCAAGAGTGTGGCCATGTGAGGAGGTTTTTATCAGTTATGCCACCGGTTGTGTCCCACTACTCAGTTTTGCCACTAGGAATTTCAACTGCTCAAAAATGTCATCGCTTCGTTAGACACATGCTAAAAAATGCAACTGGACACCATTATTGTGAGCTCAAATCTCTTTTGCATGTTATAATGACATAAACATCTGTGAACCAACATGCCAGCTCTCCCTCTAACTCACTAGAATAAAGTATGGGGCCCACTTGATCCCAACAACATTCTTATTTTTCTCTAAAATTATTCGCTTGGTTACTGCTGACACATGGGGCCACACTTATCATTGTGATATAGAGAGAACTGACATGTGGGTCTAAGCTTATTTTTGTCATATAACATGGCCTTGACGTGAAAATAACAATGTATGATGGTATTTTTGAGCAAACATCCAACAGAACGATGGCATTTTTGAGCAAGCATCTCACGGATCGATGGCATTTTTAAGTAGTTGTAACTTCTAATGGCAAAACTAAGTAGTGGAACATAACCAGTGGCATAAATGATAAAAAGCCCGTAATAAAAAAATTGCGAACACATGCATGGTCTCTAGGTATTTGCAAAATTTCATAAAATGGTAAAACAAATTGTAGGCTACACAAAGAAGACAACATTCTGGCAAAAGAAAAATAGAAACCCACTTTGGATCATGTTTTTTTATACTTCTCGAAATATACTGATGAAAATTTGCACGCACATAACACATCTATATACACATACAAAAAAATCATAAATTTTTGTGACATAAAAATTACTAATTTGGAAAGAAGAAGGAAAAATACCAGGCTCCCTGAAGCCCGGCCAGGAAAGTGCATTATCGAGTTTTGATCGGATGACGCGCACGTGAAAATCTGACGGAGGTGGCCTGTCTTTGTTCATGATCAGTTGGCTGACGTCAACCGATCCAGGACGCCCAAAAAATAGAGTTGAAGTTTCATGGAAAGTACAGAATCCCATATAAGTTGCTTGCTACTCCATTAATTGAAGTTATAAAATGGACTCCGATAAAATCCGATCGTACGGATTTTAAGCATTTCGTCCCGAACATTTTTACATGACAACTTTAATTGACACGAGATGGCAACTTTAGTTGTTAAGACATGGTAACTTTGTCCCAGTTTGTTTTTTTGTCAGAAAATTGTAAAGTTTGTCAACCTCACGTGAACTAAAATTGCCATAAAAAACGTTCGGGTTTCCATGCTTAAAATCCGAACGTTCGGGATTTATCATTGCCGTATAAAATTATCTTAAGTCAAACATTTTAAAGTTTGACTAAACTTATAGAACAATCTATTAAAATCTAGAATATCAAATATATATACTATCAAAATATATTTCATAATCAATTTAATGAACCAAATTTGGTGTTGTGGACGTTGATGTATCTCTATATAATCTTGGTCAAACTTAATGAAATTTGACTTGAACAAGCTAGAACTTTAATTATTTTGAAATTGAGGTAGTAGTTTATTGGGCTCTACTTTTGATTTGTACTATCACACGCTACGGCGGGTTTTATGCAGGAGTTCAACGTCAAACTCTTTTTTTTTAATGTTAGAGTTGATCTACAAAATTTATTGATTAGGAGAAAGAAGGTTGGTCCAGTTTTTAAGGGAGACCGGACCCAAAAACCATACAAACAGCGTTTCGGCCAACAACACACACACACCCTCACGAGATCCGGGTCTCTCTAACCGGATCCATCTCCAAGACGATGCCCCCAAGAGAGACCGGGATGCCGAATTGCGCTGTCATCATCTGACCTAAACTAGATCAAGGGTTTCCCCCGTAGCACGTCGGGAAAGGCAAGATGAGAGCAGCTATATCGATGCCTCCAACGAGGGAGCGACACCCGAAAGCGCCGCCATCGATGACTCCGACCGCAACCGGAGTACGACTTTCGTCGGTAGTCTCACCTGCATAGCCCGAACCCAGGGTCCGATCAGCCTACACATCGAACCACTATCCCTACCTCCACGGCCAACCGCACCTCCCCGGCGAGCTCGACGTGCTTCCAACCCTGCATCCGCATCCCCCACTGGACGGAGGATGCAATCCCTAGTGGTATCATTCGTCTCCCATCGAAAGGATGCAACCAGCACGACGCCATTCGTCTTCCCGAGGATGCAATGCCTGCCGGTCATTCATCTCCCGACGAAGGATGCAACAACCGCCACGAGGCCATTCCTCTCCTTCCAGCCACCACCATCTCGTCCTCCCACCCGAAGCCACGTCGAGCTCATCGAACCACCAAACAGGAGGATGCAACACCAGGCGAGGTGCCATTCATCTCCCATAACCTCGCCCGCACGGCGAGCAGAAACCCAGATCGAGCTATGCTGCCTGTGGAACCCACGCCTCCGGCAGATCCGGCGTATCCATGGTCGCCGAGCGGAGAATCACCGGCCACCGAAGACAACCGGTCGCCACCCAGCGGATCCGCGCTGAGGGCGCCACCGGCATGCCTCCCACGCCCCGCACGCCGTAGATCCACGCTGGGAGTAGTGCCAGCGTACCCTTCCCATGCGCCGCCTCAGATCTGACGGCGACCACCACGCGCCCGGCAGCCGCACGCTTCCTCGTGCGCCCACCATGCTCCCCCGCGCCCTGCGCGCTTGCCATCCGACAGCGCCCCTCGCGCCGAGGCCGCGCACGCCCACGCCCTATCCGGGCCGCGCACGCCCGCTCCTCGCTCTGGTCACGCACGCCCGCACCACGGGCCTCCAAGCCCGCCGGCCGCGATCCCTCCACCGTGCGCGCCGGCGACCAGCAGAAGGCCGACGCGCCCGCATATCAGAAGATGAGATGCCCCCGCGCTGCTCATGGTCTTCGCGAGACGGGACAGGTCCCGCCGCCGCCGACACCGCACGGGCTTTGCTCGGCGGCACCCTCCGGCGACGTCGAGGAAAGGGGTGAGGCGGAGTAGGGGCGGCGGCGGCGGCGGCAGGGTTTCTCCCGGGCCGCTGCGGGGAGCGGCACGTGAGCGGTTTGGGATTGCCTACTCTGCTTCCCTCAACGTCAAACTATGGATGAAGAATTAATTAGCATATCACATGTGTTATCTGACGCTGCTCAAATAATTTGACATCGCCAGTTGCTTACCGAACAAATTTTCTCATCATTTTCTATACCGCTAGATCGGATCTTCGAGCTTGCCACTCAATCCATCCAGTTCAGCCAGCCATGGAGTTCCTGCAGGACAGCATCCCAAGGGTGTGCATCGCCGCCGCGGCCGCCGCGCTGTACGCGCGCGCGTCGTCGTCCCTCCTCCGGCCCGGCCTCCCCCGCCTCGTCGCGCTGCTCCCGGTGCTGGCGTTCCTCGCCGCCGCGCCCTTGGCGTTCGCTTCCTCCACCAACGTCCGGGGCACCGCCGCCTTCTTCCTCGCCTGGCTCGGCACGTTCAAGGTCGCCCTCCTCGCCGCCGGCCGCGGGCCGCTCGACCCCGCGCTGCCCGTGCTCACGTTCCTCTTCACCGCCTTGCTCCCCGTCAAGCTCCGCGGAGCAGCGGCGCCGGCCAACGCCGGCAACAGCAAGCCGGTGTCGCTCGTTTCTTGCGCGGTCAAGGTCGCCGTCATAGCCGCCCTGCTCCGGCTCTACCAGTTCAGCGACCGGATGCACCTCTACGCGCGCCTCGCGCTGTACGGCGTCCACATGTACTGCTTCTTCGACCTCCTCCTCCCCTGCATCGCGGCCGCCGGCGCGGCGCTCGGCATGGAGATGGAGCCGCAGTTCGACCGGCCGTACCTGGCCGCGTCGCTGCGCGACTTCTGGGGCCGGCGGTGGAACCTCATGGTGTCCGCCATCCTCCGGCCGTCGGTGTACGACCCCGTGCGCGCGCGCGCCGGGAGGGCCGGCGGCGTGCTGGCCTCATTCGCGGTGTCCGGGGTGATGCACGAGGCCATGGTGTGCTACCTCGGCCTGCGGTGGCCGCCCAGCGGGGGGATGGCCGCCTTCTTCGTCCTCCACGGCGTCTGCTGCGTCGCCGAGGGGTGGTGCGCGCGGCGGTGGGCGACCAGGGGGTGGCCGCCCCTGCCGCGCCCCGTGGCCACGGCGCTGGTGGGGCTGTTCGTGACGGCCACGTCGTTCTGGATCTTCTTCCCGGCTCTTCTTCCCGGCGTCGAGGAGAAGCTGATGGAGGAGTGGGCCGCAGTGGGGGCTTTCTTCCTCGACGCCGGCGGGAAAGTTCCGTCGTATGGTCAACGGAGCAAAAGTTAGGAAAACTCAACCCCATGTATACTAATCGAATGCTCCACTTTTGTTGCATGGAGAAAAGCAATTCTGGGAGTTCGATCCCGTGCATGAATCATCCGACCTTGCTGTATTTTTTTGTGTATTCTACTATTATTTATTATTCTTGGTGTGTAAATCGCAAGAAATCATCGTATTTGTGGATCCTTGATAAAGAAAACCATCACAGCTTGTCGAACACTCATCGGCGACTAAACTCACGTTAACACCGTTTTTGAAGGATGGGGCCCGCTGACGTGGCAAAAAAATGCAAATCGTTTCACTTGGTCATTAAACTGGGTGTAGGGCCCACCCTTCAGCGTGTGCACACATTTCTCTTCTCTTTGTACTCCATCCGTTTCTTTTTAGTCTGCATATAAAGTTTGGTCAAAGTCAAGCTTTGTAAAGTTTGAATCAACGATGTATAGTATGTATGTAGTCTTACGGTGGAATCGACGATGTACATACGTACGTTATGCAGTACAGCTACATTCACATTGACATGGTCGGGTAGGCGACATCGAGCATGATGCCACAGAGCCCCGGGCCGAGGATTTTGCGCTGCATACGGATGTAGCCGCGCTCGCCTCACGTCTGGCCCCACGAGTTTTTGACGATCCAGAACTTCTCACCCGTGGACTCATCAGCGTCGTAGCCGACGACGGTGACGGCGTGCTGGAGCCGTGTCCCGCAGGGGCCCGAGTAGACGCCGCTCTTGTAGAACTGTATGTCGCTGCCCAGCTCGATGGCCGCGGCGACGGGCTGCTTGGCAACGGCGTGCTTCATGGCGAGCTCATTCGAGCCTGGGCCTGAAGCGTGGCCGGTGATGGCGGCGACGTGGTGGTCGGACTTGGCGGTGTCGCAGGTCCCCTGTGCGGCCTTGTACGGGTACTCCGCCTCCGTGGTGAGACCGCCGTTCTGGTGCACCCAGTGGAAGGCCCTGCGGAAGGAGCCGCGGTTGCAGCCGCCGTTGTACTGGTCGCAGTCCACCAGTTGTTGCTCCGAGAGGGGCACAAGCTTTCCCGTCTTGATAGAGTGGAGGCTCTCTATCGTCGCCACTTCCGCGAACGCCCAGCTGCTAACTACATCCATCCACGCATGTGTCAAATAAAGTTAGTCAAACCTCAGTATTACTCCCTCCGTCCCATATTATGGGACGGACGGAGTACTTGATAAGGTTGAAAATGGATGACATTTACGTACAACACGATGAGGTTTGCGCCTTGGGCGGCACCACGACGCCTTTGGCCCTCTAGTCCATGCTGGCCGGATCCAAGGAGACATTGTCGTCGCCATACGACCACAGGCCGGTGTCACCGCCCCCCACGACCGTCGTGATGACCATATCACCATCCTCGGTGCGAGCATCACCGTCGTAAGACGTGAACTTGCCGAGGAACTCCTCCCGGGTGAGGTCGGCGAACTGGTTCTCGCCGAGTTGGTAGGTAAGGTCGCTGCGGCGGTTGGTGGTGTCGATGTACTCCACATTGTCGCGGTACACCTGGAAGCGCCGCAGCCTCTCCCCCGCGCTCGGGTACGACCGGTTGTGCGCAGCCTGCCACCGGAGGAACCTGTCCATCATCAGCATGTCGCCCACGTCGACGCCGCGGCCACTCGCGGCCGCCGCCCATGCCAGGAAGATCGCAGCAGTGATCGCCGGCCATGTGCCAGGGGAGAAAGCCATGTCGATCGATGGATCGACCTGTAGATTCGTTTGTTTATATGGTGCTCGTGGTGGAGCGCGGGAACGCGTCTTTCGGTGGTGTCGGCCGGCGACGAACGCGTGCATGCTGCTGCGTACAAGTATAGGAGGAATGGTAACGAGCTACATTTCATGTTGGCCGCTTGCAGTGGTGCATCCATATGTGCCTTGGCACACGAAATACAAAAGTGTGTTGGTTAGGTACTTAGGTTGCGTTGCCGTGCACACTAACATATTAGTAGATCATATGGCGACCAGCAGTGATGTGATGGTGACTTCACGTTTTACTCATTCTGTTCGGTGATGCTGAGTTTATTTTTCTTTTTTTTTTGAAAATTGTGATGGTGAGATGGCTCAGCAGGTACGATTTTACTCATGGTGTTTATTATCAAAATGAAGGTGGTGCCCTAGAGGAGCCATGATTTTCGACATGGGTACATAGGGTCAAAAGCTTTTTCTACAACACAACGATATAAGATATAAGAAGTTCAAAATAATGACAATGAAACTACGTAACTCTTTGTAGCAAAAATATATCCAATAATTCAGTATCATTTTAAGAACAAATGAAGAGAATCATAATTTAATTAAATTACATTGTAAAAGCAAGTTTTATAGGGAATCAATGCGAAGTGTGCATAAGTTTAACTGAATGCCACAATAAATCGATCAACGAAAATTAAAAGTTGAAGATAATCCTTTATCTCTGCTGATATTTGTTAGCGATTTTCCTACTGGATGGCTAATGTGTGTGTCGTATCACTGCCTAATGCTGAGTGCGCACAACGGAGGACGTGGGCTGACAATGAGGCAATCACAATTGATGTCAATAATGAGTCAGTGACGAACACCCTAGTGAAGTAGTGATGCGGCGACACCCAGTTTTAGCGATGCAACAATTGACTCGACACATATCCCACATTTTATAGGGGTGGATTGACGACTTGCTCGACTTATTAAGCTCATGCCTGCGACGTGGCATGGAACACATGAGATTGTATCTCCCAGAACTTTTTGTCTTCTCCGGTCAACAACGGATTGCATCTCAGCAGTTCAATCAACTTTTCTCTATCTTGGTGTATTCTTTACATCTGTCCAAATCACCAATATAAGAGAAATACAGTTAGGTTTCATGGATGAAAAAAAGAAGAAGATAAAACTGTGCCTAGGTATACCAGATAAAATTCCTACATTTTCACATGCACGGTTGAAGAGTACATTGTGGAAATGGTAGGAGAAGTACTAGTGGAAATATATAATATATTATGGAAGGTGCTTTAAGAAGACATTACAGTGCAAAAATAGAAATTCCTGCAAGATGAAAATTATGCTTGGATGGTTAGTAAAAAAAAGAGCAAAAAAATGAATAGGGTGTCAGCCCAACTACATGAAGGTTCAAAAAAAGTTAGCACACTACTAGCTGTATTGTCTCGATCGACAAAAGGAAAGGGAACATAGACACACGAATATATGCGAAACATGCATCATTCAAAAAGAGTCGCCGAAATTAAAAAGTATAAACATACTCAGGGTCAGGGGCTTGGATAGAATAGAAGAAGAAAAGAGAGAGTGGAAGGACCTGGATGCAGAGAAAAGTACACAGCGCCACAGCCGCATGCGAAGATTGCTCGGGGGCGTATCTGTAAAATGTGCAGGGACCGGCGCGCAAAATCTTAAAAAAATTTGGACCATTTCTCGATTTGTGCGTGTCATCCTTGCGCAGGGGCCATGCTAATCTTCTCTGTATCGTTCCAATTTTATCGGATGTCCCCGAAGGGACGATGAGATTGGAAGGGCGACGCTTATAAAGCGCGACGGAGCTCCTTCGCTAACCGATGTGGTACTAAACTAGCTGGGGCGCGCTGCTGTCTCCCACGAGCCGCAGGAACCGCGGAATGGCCAGTGGGCCGCATCTGCGTGCCGCTAGCCCAACTTGGAGGCCGACTGGAGAATGCATGCTGGACCTGGCCCTATCCTGAGGCATCTTATATGGCAGGTTTGAGTCTAGAAAATTTAAAAAAACATTGTCTTACGCCAGCAGCCGAAGATAGAACATCGAGTATTAGTCACCTGAGATTTATGATGTTACCCTTCATCCATGCGACTTAGCTACTCCCTCCGTCCGAAAATACTTGTCATCAAAATAAAAAAAAAGGACGTATCTAGAACTAATATACATCTAGATACATCCCCTTTTATTTATTTTGATGACAAGTATTTTCGGACGGAGGGAGTACGATGCAAACGCCTCTTCTTAATTACATGTGTACTATAGATGATGAGAGCGACCGGAACAAGAAGATCATCGTGATTGACACGGTTCTTCGCTCAGTTTTGCTGGTCTTTTTTTCATCAGTTTCCAAGTCATCCGAGTTGCTCGGTCGTTGGGTGTGGCGGACGCTGCTGGAGTGGACGCAACAGATTCCAAGTTGATAACCTCCTTCTCGGCCTCTCGCAAAAAGAAAAAAACCTCCTTCTCGGCCTTCTTGAGGGTGCGCTTCCGGGCATGCAAGTTTTCGCGGGCAACGCTCGTCGTGTTCACTGCCGCAATGGTCGGGACCCCCATTAACTCTGCAACCCAGGGTCCATGGCGGTGAGCTAGGACGGAGGAGCAGGGCAATGGCGAAGACACAAAAAATGAAGGACGTACACGGTGAGGGAGGCGGTCGCTGCCAGGCAATTTGGGGTGGCCTTGTCTTGCCAGGTCAGACGTAGCAGACGCGTTATCCATCTCATGTATGGGTTGGGGTGTGCGAGGTGCTACGCCAGATAAGTAAGTTGTGTTTGGAAGACATGATTATTATTTTTTGTCCGAGCAATGTTCGGCCTTTTCATATAAACCCATATCACCGCAAGGAAGGTGTAGGATTCGGTTTGTGGCCATTTACTCAATGAGAATGGTTCCTGGAAATATGACCAAGTAGTCAAGTATTTCTGTGCAGCTGATGTGTCTGAAATTTTGAAAATTAGGGCATCTCCACGACAGGAGGCAGATGTGCTTGCTTGGGGCCCGGGTAAGCTGGGTTTGTTCAGCGTGAAAAGTGCTTATGAGTTGGCATTTGAGGAGATGCATAGAGACAGTGCGGTGGCCAGCAGTACTAGCCCGGATGGTAGGAGGTTGCTGTGGAAACTTATCTGGGCAGCGGAGGTGCCCCCGGCTGTGAAGAATTTTGCTTGGAGGCTGAATTCAAATAGTCTTCCAACCTGGGCGAACAAACATAAGATCGGCCTTGAATCTTCTCCTCTTTGTCCTGTCTGTGCGATGGAACCGGAGGATAACTTCCAT